GCCTCAGCTCCTTAAACTTCAGGCTCATTCTGCTCAGGATACACCAAATATGTATTTACCAGCAGTTGTTGTCCATGTTTCCCATGATGAAAAGGGATGGTTTGTAAAGAAGGACCAGGAGGTCCTTCTTGGGGATCAAGCACCTTGCCGCACAGCAGTGCCTTTTACTCTTCTCTGCTCAGCATTTCTGCTGTCACCAGTGACTGACCTCTCCACCTTTTTGTGTTCTGACCTGATCCCTAACAGACAGGTGCTCCCTGGCTGTTACTCCAAACATATCTGAGGCTGAGCTCCTAATAAATTCTGCATGCTGAATTTTGCAATGAAACTCATGTGGGAGAAGGTGATTGGCGTTAAGGATGCTGTTACATATTTTAGCACTCCAACTTGTACAGCTCCATGTAGATTTACATAAGATCCACGTATAGTCACTACTTGAATGAGAACAGATGTCCCCTTCGGAGATGGTGTGAGCGTTTGCCTCCTCTCACTCTTTTGCACTCACAAATGCAAAATCAATGAAAGAGAAGTTGCAACCCGAAGTAGGAAAAAGTTTAAAGTTACATACTGCACTGCTACAGTTGGCAAACCAGCTTCTCCAGGCTACAGTTTCCAGCAAATCACTAATGTTACAAGCCAAGAAGAGTCCTTCTGGAGCACCTGCCAGGCGCTCAAGGAGAAAAATAAAACATTCTTCCATTCTGCACCATCCTTCCTACCTTATCCCACAGGAGAATCTTGCAAGGAGCTTCCAATCTGCTTACTTGTTTCTGTTACAAGATCTGAAAGCAAGCTGCCTGCCACTGTAGAGAAGTTGAACAGCAATTTTAATCTGAGCACAGTGCAGCATTTAGTGCTGGAACTGTGCCTGCATCCTGGCAGGAGGAAGACCCCCTGACCATGGTCCTGCTCCATTCATCACTGCAGTACCAATGGGACACAAACCCAAGACTTGTCACAGACGATGGCCAGCAAGGACACCCAGCAGAGCACTGAGAGGAGCTGTTCCTGTCTGTACCCCATCACCAGAGTCCTGCAAGAGGGAAAGAGGGGCTGACAGCAGGCACAGTGTGCCCTCCTCCCCTCCTAAGTGGTATTCACCCACCTTACCACAAAGCACCTGCAAGAGAGAGGCTGGTGAGATCCCAAAGAAGCAAAGGGTTTCAGAGGAGACAAGGCTTCTATATAGCACAGCAACCTCTGCGGGGCAGAGCACTACAGGAGAAGGCTTTCACCCCCAAAAACATTGTCTGGAGGTGCATCAGAGGAAAAAAAAAAAAAAAAAGAAAAAAAGGCAATTCAAATACACACACTTCTTAGCCCACGAAAAATTTATCCACTTCACAACCAGCTTCATTTATTAGTAAGTCTTGGTAACACTAAAATGGGGTGATATTGGTACCATTATGGAGGTGTAAAGGGGAATTATCACGGGAAAAGCTTCAAACCATATCACTCTGGCCACACTTAGTGCTGCGAAGTTCAACTACAGCAGCTGCTCTTTAACCTTATTGGCACTGGTGTAATCTCAAGCTGTCCCATGCATGCACCAAAGCAGAAGTGTAGGTGCCTGCACATGTGGAAACAGCAAAGATATTGCAATGTGTGGCTTCTGTAATTTGCCCTCCCATGGCAGCATTGCGCCATGCCCTCAGCATACAGCTAAATCTCCTTGCATCACCAGCCAGGACTACAGAGCTATGGTGCAATGATGCTTCGTCTCGTTTATTAGCTTGGCCTTTCACTTAAGATCTGCAGAAGTAGGAGAACAGAGAAAATAAGACGCACTTTTTTTTTCCACAAACGGCTACTCTCAAAGCTGAAAGCATTACTAGAGGATCTGACATCAGCACTGCCAATCTAAATATGTCAGCCCCGCTGTGCATCCAGAAATTGCCTTGACAGCAGCAGCGCAGCCAGCGGCCCGTGCTCTGAGCACAGGCGACAATGCCCGCGGTCAGAGCTCTAAAGGCGGGAGTGACAGCTCCGACCGAGCTCCCTCCCTCTGCAATAAACAGGCGAGTCCTGCCTCTCCCACCAAGAAGAAATAGCAGGTGGACAGAAAGCGCTTGTGATGGGAAACCAGGAGTAGCACTCCTGAATGCGATCGCAGGGCAGACACGGAGCAGAGAGCCCCGCTGGAGCAGGGTACAGGTGGACAGGGGACCCCGCCGTCCGCTCGGGCACCACACACCGGACACCGGCCCGGCGATACGTGACCGCCGGGAACACAACTTTCCCAAGCGCGGAGACCGCGCCCCTTCGCCCCTCTGCCAGAGCTGCTGGCGACAGTGACAGCTCCGGCTCGGAGCAGCGGCTTCAGCGGTGTCAACAGCTCCGCGCTGTGAGATCGCGGCCAGGGCCGGGCTTGGAGCAGCGCCCGCCCGGGGTCGGGGCCGCGACCTCCGGGCGGAGCAGAGGAGTGCCCCGCTCCCGCCCGGGATGTTTACGCAGGGAGCGCTGCAGCAGCGCCGCTAACCCAGGCTCACCGCCCTCACCGGGAGCCGCCCCGCCCGCCGCCGCCTCCCGCGGAGGGACTGACGGAGCGGCGGGCAGCGGCGGCGCCGGGACGGGCAGCTCCCCGGGCGGGAGGGAGGCGGCGCTACCCGCGCGGTCCCGTATTCGGTGCGCGCGGGTTTAATTTTTGCGGCCACCGGCCGGAAAGCTCCGGGGGGAGCAGGATCCACCGGCACCTCCGCAGCCACCACTTCCTCGGGCAGCGCCGGGCGGCGGCCGAGCCGCCCCCGCGCCCGGCAGGGCACGGCCCTTCCCCATCTTCCTCCCTCCCCTCCCGTCAATCCCCACCCTCCGTGGGCGGGGGGGCTCCGCGGCCGCCCGGCCGGTACCTTGCAGGCGGAGTAGACGCCCAGCTTCTCCAGCTTCTTGGCCCGCGGCGCGGCGCGCAGCTGCGCCTTCTTGCCCGCGGTGCGCGCCGAACCAGCCCCCCCGGGGTTCTCGGCGGCGCTGCGGACCGGGCCCCCGGCGGCCACCCCCGCGGCGGCCGGGGAGCGGTGCGCCCGGCCTTAGACCCTCCCCTTCACCGCTCCGCCGCCGCCGGCTGCTCCCCGGGGGGGGCGGGAGGAGGGACCCGCCGCTCCGCGGGCGGCTCCTGCCCCGCCGGCGGGGGTGGGGGCCGGCCCCCGCCTCCCGCCGCTGCGCACCGCAAGGGCGCGCCCGCCTCCCTGCGCGGGGCTGCGCGGGCGGGCGGCGCCCCCGCGGGAAGGGCGGCGGCGGCACCCGCTGCGTGCGGAGCCGCTAGGGAGCCATCCCGGCCCTCCGGGAGGCCGCGCGGAAAGTTACCCTAAAAAGAGGCTGCATCGCTGGCGGTGTCGAACGGTCCCGAACCCCGGTGAGCCCGCGGTGCTGCCGCAGCCGCTGTGGCCCCTCGGAGCGCCGCTACTTTGTTTGGCTTAACCATTGCCTTCCCACTCTGTGTACTCTGCGGCCAGCTTTGAAGGGTTCAGTCTTCTTCCCGAGATAATTTCTAACTGAATGTAAGAGTACGGGTCAGTTTCAAATACTGGCTAATTCAGAAACTCTCTGCTCAGTTTCTCGCGTCATGGTTCTGGCGCTTGGTTGTTTGTTGTGTCCAGAAACAAGTGTTGAGACCAGGTCAGTTTATACCTTAAAGGGATTACCCTTTAACTGAAACTTAATTTAAGGAAATGGCCCTGCTCCAGAGAACGCACTCCATGCACAGCAGCAAGTGCACCGGGTGTGAGGCGGTTCTGCCCCGTTGCACGTATTAAAACCGTGGTTGAGCCGTGAGAAACCACAAATGGCAATTCCGTACTACGGCACCACGGTTTAAAGGGTTGGGATTGAGGCTGGGCGTTTGCGTGGGATTTACGGTTCTTTGATGTGTGAAGCTAAACTATCAAAGAAGCAGTATGAGTTTGGAGGGAAGTCCCGGCGCAGACAGAGGGCTCTTGCAGGCACAGGGCCTTGGCACCTTGCATGGGGAAAGCAAAAATAACTCTAGGTTTGTGCGGAGTAATATTTGGGGGGAAAGGTGTGTGACAAAACCCTGTGGCGTCCTTCTTCCCTTCGCAGCTCCTGGGGGTATTTTCAAGCATGATGTAATACATTGAGCTGGCATATTCACGAAATTATAGGAAACCAGAATGGAATAAAATGAGGTATTTAATGAAACAAGGGGATCTGTTGCTTTTCTCTATTTACTTATTTATATTTGTATTTTGCTGAGGTTTTAAAATCGACAGGGTGTTGATGGGCTGGGGGTCAGACCTGCTCCCCGGCTCGGGCGGAGCCGGGATACCCCGGGGAATCCGCGGCAGAGGCCGGGCTGGCTTCGGGCTTGCCAGCAGCTGTGACAGCGACCCGTAAGATGGCTGCTGCCATCCCCGGCGCTTTAAGACGGACTGGTTAAGGTGGAGGAGCCGCTGCCCTTGGCGGTAGCAGCGTCAAGATTAATAGGAAATTAAACGCGATACGAAAATCCAGTTTCTCTGACATTTAGGAGAGAATTATCTTCGTCTTTTATTTTTAATTTTTTGTTGTAAGTGTCCGAATCGCGTTTTAAAATAGCAAATAGCCGCTGTAGGTTAAGCAGCCCCAAGAAGCTCTTTGCTTGCATTTTCTTTATGCCGGTTAGGTTTCTGCTTTCGGACTTGAAAATGAAACTGTTCTTGCTTAGTTTCGCTTTCAGCTTTCCCACGACTCCTCCTCGGCAGAGCAAATGTTACAAGCAAAGAGCACATCTGGAACAACACACTGGCTGCGATGGACCGCTTAATATCCCCGCCTGAACACAGACCCCCTAGTTTTCCTGGGAGTTGATGTACCTTTACATGCCCCTGTATGTTTTTCGTGTTTTGTTTTTTTGGGGTTTTTTTCCCCCCAAATCACCAGGTTCTCCTTTAACCAGGTAGATAATGATATTTAACCCAGCATTAAGTTTGCCCACTTGCATGTAATGAATTACAGTTTTGATACTGAAAATACATTTGCTGCTTTCACACAGATTAATAACTCCACCGATGTGCATCGAGGCCACTCAGTGGGCGCTTATGTCTGAAGCTGCACAGGTGAATGCTCACAGGATCACAGCTAGGTGAACAACCTTATTCTTTAGGAACCTTAAAAGCCTGAAAACTTATTACTTCCAATAAAGTAAAATCAAAGACGAAAGTTGTCAGGAAGCAAACTGCAGTTCCTTCTTGAATCCTCAAGAGCATGGCTGTCTTACAGTACCATGTATCTTTTTTTCCATTATACCTTGATGCTCGCCAGATAACCAGAAATGTAAGTCTACCAGCTTGTGGCTACAGATACAGTTACTATAGTAACATCTATAAACACTAATTTCACTACACTTGCAGAACTGCTGCCTGCTAGAAGCTGCTTGGAAAGAAACCACTCTAACTGTGAATAGGTAAGTCTTTATTTTTTTTTTTTTAACATTAAGACTGATCATTGCTCAAATTCTAACTTTGTGCGAATATGTTGTTAAAAACAAAAAGGAAAAAAGCTTTACTTTGTCTCTAACTGCTCTAGCAAAAAGTAAAATATTCCATTTAAAATTTTAGCAAGACTAAGGAGCGAAAAGAAAAACAAAAAACAAACCTCCTATGCTTTGACATACATGTGGATACATGTCATTGTTGCATATATCCAAGCTGTTTTCTTCTGTTGGCTGAATTCACAAGTACACTACATACTAATTTTCTAATTATAATGCATGCATAAATCTGAGCACCATGTAACCCCTCTGTTGCTTGGTTTTCATCATTAAACATGAATATATTAAATTAGATTAAAACTCACAGTATTGTCTGAAAAACCCTCACCACGTTTTTCAGTTTCTGTTCTTTGGGGCATGTCAGTGGGTTTGCACAAGTCGAGCTGACTCTGAAACCCGAGTTGAGGAAGCACGGGTGGGAGCAGATGATCCTGCCTGTGCTGCTCAGCTCACAAGCTCAGGTGAGTAGCCAGGTGACTTCAGGAATGCTACTCATCTGCATCAAATTAGGGAAGGCAGGAGCTAGGTGAGACACAGGTGCCAGCTCATGTGTGTTTCAGGTCTCACTCAGGCTGCTGATAGCCCCGAGGAGGTGCCTGCTCAGAGCCCATGCTCCCAGCAGATCAGACATGCATTTCACATTTGTTGCTCCTGCATGAATTCATCTGACAGGCTTAAATGCAAGAGCCTGTGTGTTAATATTATTCCAAGGAGGCAAAGGAGACAGCTGCATTCTTGAGTCACGAAAGAGGAAATCAAAATACAGTTTAGGGTGTGCCGGACTCCTGGTTATTACCAAGTTGTCATTTAGGCTTTTGGGGCCTATCTTGCTCCCATAAATTAAAGAATGACTCAGGTAATAGCAGCCTAATGCTGAATGCTACTGCTCTGACAGGGACCACCCAGCCCACAGCTGAGCTCTGGGAGTCTACCCCTAACCCTGATCCCTGTCTCACAGCCCAGTCAGATCCAGCACGCCCAACCCAGCCTCGTCTCCCTCCTTTTGTTCAAGTGAGATTTTCTTCCAGCACTCCCACCCATTTTTATTCTTGCCATTCAATTCCAATAGAAAAAGCGTAGCTCTTGCTCTTCCAGGAAACTTCTCTGAGTATGAAAACCTGTTGCATCCTTTCATTAGTGCATTCCTTGTGGGTGAAGTGGCCTCCATCCTGGCCACCAGGTATTCAGGAGTGCTATCAATAATTTATGAATCACTGGAAGTATTAACAGTACAAAAGTTTTGCCCCCTAGACCATCTCTAGCATCTCATCAGCTTCCCAAGGTGCTTACATGTGACTAACAACACAGACCTTCCCATCAGGTTTTTGCTCTGGTAGGAAACCTCACACCCCAGTTTCTAAAGGCAAAAATGCAGAAAAATAAATGGAGAAAATGTCATTTGCAACACACATGGCTGCTCCAGGCACACAAATTTCTTGTTAGTGATGGACCATTTAGCAGTTTTTATGTGCTTCTTTCCCAGAGGATGCTCTTTTTGACTGCAGTCAGACTTTTGATTTAACCCAAATCAAATGAGAAAACCAAAGGCTGGAGTCACTCCTGCCTCTGCACAGTTTGAGCTGTGTGTGTGAAGTCCAGAAGATGTTTGTTGAAGTTATTTAGCCATCAGCAGTCACTGCATAGGCTTACACTGTATTATTTTGTGGTAGTGGGAGCTCTGGATTTCTTCTAGCAAACATGGGATGTACTATCTATTTTTCCCTTATCTTCTCTTTGACTCCTCACAATTCTTTTGTTTATCCCTTTCTCTAATGTATTTTTTCTGTTCTTTCTATTCCTCAACTCATGGCAGAGATTCCTGCAAACCTCTGGGTCACCACTGGGTGCATTTTGACTGCTTGTGCCATGCAGGGCCTGTCATTTGGTGCTGCAAGCCTGAAATACCCCTGGGAGACTGGCACAGGCACTGCTGGCAGGTTGGGAGAGGAAGGGCCTCCTTTCTCCATCCTGCACAGAAGTGCAGGTGCCAGCCAGCACCCTTGATACAACACTGACGTAGATATTATTTCTGTAAGATGAAGTTACAGTCGCCTAAGAACATCTGATTGTGCAAACCCAGCCATGGGTCTTCCACATATCTGTGTGGGGAACCACCTGGAAATCCTAGATTTTCCAGGAACTAGAGACATAACGGCAGGCACCACTGCTCACCACTCAGCCAAGCAGCAGAAACTAAACCGGCTAAAAACTTCCATTTGGACCAACTGTAATAGTGCTGTGTACAGCTGAAAAATGCAGAGGAGCCCCAGGAGTACAGCACCAACCCCAGATGGGGATTTGTGGGGTGAGGGAGGCAGGATTTCACTGGGAGTGCAGAAGGCAAAGTTATGTTATCACCACCCATCTTCTACCTTCTGCCACAGCTTTCTTTGTGGGTCCCCAAGCCCCTCACATCCCTCGCCTCCTGTGCCCAAGGCTGGCAGGCTCACCATCCCACTCAATGTTTCACGGCTTCTCTGCCCCACACAGGCCCTTGGGGGATAGCAAATTGCTACTTCTGCCTCACTGAGACTGACCCATCTATGAGGAAGAGCTGCAAAATTATCTGGAGTGTAGAAAGAGCTGGTTTGTCGTTGTTTCACTACTCCTATTTCCCATTTTGATGCTTCCTCCCAGCTGAGGAGCTGCACCTCTGCACAAGGGGACAGTGTCACAAATTAGAACTCTCGCCCAAGAAGACCTAATGATGGGGACTCTTATTTTATAGGGTGGCACAAAACCAGAGGGCCTGGAATCCCGGGATTCCAGTTTTGGACAACACTTTAGGAGATAAATAAGGAGACTAATTATCTTAATTTATTCCATAATTATTTTAATTATCAATCACTTCCTTCTTTCTTACCTATTATCAGGTTTCCAGGTGGGAGTACAGGATTCTGAGTCCTGAATGCAGGCTCTGCCCCTGGCATTCTCCTGTGACTCACCAAGTTTGTCTTTATCTCTTCCCACCTATCATAACTAGACTTTCTTGAAGCTGCATCACTGCTTCTGGGGATGCAGTAAGTAGGCTATACATGCACACATAAGTTGACTCACTTGGGAGAAGATGTCCTGCTCCTTCTGCACCATTCGCTCTGTGGATGGTTTTGGAGAATGAGAGGACCAGCCCTGATAAAAAAAATTATGGAGGGTATAGGGCATGGCTCCTGGGTTAGCAAACAAGTTTGTTTTTTCAGGTGAAGACTTTTTCAGAGGTCTCACATGAGTTTAAGGAAGGCTTTGTGAGGATTTTCACACAAAATATTTGTTCTTTGCTGCTTTGGCCAAAGATGACCACGTGAACCTGGGACCTGCTAAGGCAGCACCCACCCAGCAGAGGCTGGCTCTGACTGTGCTGTGGGATGTGAGCTACACAGCACGTTCACACTACACCAGACAAGTACCAATGCCTCACCCAGGGTGGCTCCTTGACAGATGCTGGTGGCATCAGGCATCCTGCAGCTCGGGGACAGACAGTCCTGGCCATGCTGAGAGTCTCTGTCATGGTTGCTGTATGTGGGTGTGATGCATTCACAGTTTTCCAGGGGAGGTGCTGCTGCTGGAACTCTGCTGAAGGTGTGGAGGCAATGAAGCAATGTCCTGGTGTCACAGGCACATGGGAAGGAGAGGACTGAGAGGGAAGCACTACCTGAGACATGAGCAATAAGTAAATCAGGGAAGCAGGAAAAGACAGGCAAGGAAGCTGGTGCTCATTCAGCAAGAATTTGTTTATATGTACTAGTTGATAATATTTTGATGAGAAACTCAGGGAGACCATGACCTCCATTTTACATCCCACAATCCTTCTCTGCCTCTTCCTGTCACCCACAGGCAGGCAAGCATCTGTCCAGCACTGGTTTCAGCATCAATAACAGTCACCATTTTCTAAGACCACAAGTATGTAGCAAATAATAAAACCCCCAAACCTAAGAGAGGAAGGAGTTCAGGCCTGGAGATTGTGCAAGCTAAGTTCTGACTGCGTTGAAGGGAAGTGAGGAAGAAGCACTCTCTGGGTGGAGATAGCATGTGTCAAAGGGAGATAACTGTACATGGGACTTGTCTGTTGCAATTCAACTCAGATCCTCCATCCTCAAAGCTCAGGAATATCTTCCATCTTTGGTAATTAAAAAATGATGATTGTAGAGCCAAACTGCAGAAACAGAAAATAATCTTGCCTTACCTTATTAACAGCAAGCAGCTCCAAGTGTCATAGCTAGAAGGGTTTTCCAGAAATATGAGATTTACAGAGACAATGGTATCATCTGCCATATGAGCCTCATGCTCTGCCTCGTTCTGCCTCTTTTAGACAGGCCAGTGCATGGCAGACTAAGCTCTGACCAGGAGGCTCTTTGTTATGACACACACAGTAAATACAATTTTTTTGCCCTTGAAAACACATGTAATCTCAAAATGTGGTTCACTCCCTATTCTTCCACATCTAATTTCTTTTTATCTGCTTCTATTTTCATCTCAGAACATTAAACTGTGTTGGGTTTTGGCTCCCTAAATAGGCACAGGGAAACTGCAGTGAGCTAGAAAGCTGAATTTTATCTTTCACTGTGAGGCTGGCAGTGCCTTAGCTTGGTGTATTGTGCTGTCAGTATCTCACTGTTATCCTTTAACCTGACAGCAAAAAACCTCCCAGTCTGTATTTGTTCCTGATGAGAGAAATGCAAGGAGAGAAGGACATACAGACTAATCTTTTTACTTCATAAGAGATCAGCAAAGCAAATGTTTCTTTTTTTAAAATTTTTATTTTTACAAGGGTTTTAGCTATTAACATAAGCAATTTATGCATAGCATAAAAAATTAACATCAGGGTTGCCCTTTTAATAATTATAAGCAAAACTATTGCAACTAAAAGAGTTACAGCCTGTCTTGCTACATGAATTATTATGTATATTATCACATTATAATATTTCTGGTTATTTACACATTATAATTAACTTGGACTGTTTTGGTGCTTTGAAAATGTGATTTGTTAGCACTTACAGCCACTTATGGAGATACAAACCCAGGTAAAATGTATGTGAGTGCTATGAATTTAGTTTGCTGAGATCAAACTAACATTTTGCTGAAAGTTTTCAATTTCCTGTCTCTAATCCAAGGGGCTTTTATATACACTAAATATAAAATGGGTTAATATTTAAAAAATGGACAAAAAATAGCTTACCAGGCATTTTGTATACACTAGTCCCAATTTTTCTAGTCCTGAATGTATCATTGTAAAGAAAACATTGAAGTCTTGTGACATCTCCCAGTCTCAGATTCAAATTATGCAGAATAAAGGAAAAGAGATCTGCACAAGCAGCTTTATCCATGTACCTCCTTACCTTTCCCTGCTGAAGTGGTGCAGCATTTTCAGAGGAGCATGGTGTTCACCTCTTGTAGAGAGACAAACTTTCCTATAATCTGGTCCTACAGCAGACTGGGAGTTGTAGCCAGCTGCAAGCCACCTCTGAAAGGATAAGCTATACTAAACTGTCATAAGGGGTTTTTAAGTGGCTCTGCTTAATATCACCCTTGACAGAAGATATGTTGTAATTGATCTACCTCAGATGATCAGAGGCACTTGATTCATTAAGATGTATTAGGATTAATTTGAGCTGGAGGAGGTTAGGGCTTCGAATTTAAGGAAATTTTATCTAACTGCCATGACAGAAAAGAGGCACACATTGAAACACAAACTGCAGAAATCCTTATAATACACAGGTGATGGAGAGAAGTAGTGAGACAAAAAAAAAAAATGTACTTCCTAGCTGAAACCCTGGAAGAGAAAACAGGTGCAAAATAGTTTATCCAGGTGTGGCTGTATGGAATGCAAACAGAGCCCCAGCAAAGGAATGAGGCTGAAGTAGGATGAAATTCCCAAAGGCTGCTCTTGTAATGTGGCTATGGGGTATTACTGCTGCTAAACTACCTTCCTTTGCCCTGGTGGTGAATTAACAGCAGTTGACAAAGATTAACTGAAACAGAAATCTCATAACAGAGAATACAACAGCACATGCATTTTTGTCTGACTTTTCTCATCCATAAATGCTAGATACTAAAAAAAACCCTATAATCAACTTGAATATAAACATTATGTTTTCATACTTAGTAGATACATGAAGTATAGGCTGGCAAGCTTAGCTGCTCACATGGTGTTAGGATTTTGCGTTATGGTGTCTGTGCATGTATGTCACGTGCTGGTTTAGGGGGAGAGGATGTTATGCAAGCAGCAGTTCATACTGAAATTTTTCAAGCCTGAAGCAGAATCACTTGGAAAAAAATTCTAGGTAAAATGGCTTAGCTGTTTCTGAGAATAGGATTTGAAAAATATGTTGTTTTGAATGTATTAAGCCAAAAGTCTTTTTTTTCCTAGAGAAGCTCCAAGACAGTCAGGTTTTGAAATACCACTTGGCAATTTGGCTGAAATGGCATCAGCAGTGTTTCTTTTGTCATTCTTGTCAATTTGCCCAAATCAGAGCAAGTTTCAAAATTTAGAAAGCAGCATCAGTTTGCCCATGCCAGGCAGAGACATGCCAGCATGCAGGTACTGCATTCGAACAGGTCCCTCTGTGCCCCAGGGCTCTGTCAGGAAGCAGTTTGCTTGGAGGCTCTACAGCTCTGACTCTTGGCTTTGCAGCACCAGGTGCCAGGCCTGGGAACAGCACTGGGGGTGCAGAGGGAGGCGAGAGAGACAGAGCTGATAGGGGAAACAGGAGCAAGGAGCTGGAGTGGAAAAATTGGAGGTACATGGGGACAAGAGGGAAGATACAAGCTCTGGCTGGCAGAGAAGCTGGTGCTGACTAGAGTCAGGTCCTTGCAGTACCTAAATTCTACACTGCTAAATTCTCTGAGACACATAGGCAGAAGATTCATTACTCACTTGAATTTCTTGTGGATAATCCCACTCCCACACCATTTTGCCAATATCAACAATCCTGGTACTTCTAAGAAAGCAAATAATTCTTTAATAAAAGCATGACTGATCTGCTAAGATAAAAATTCCACATGGCAGAGAGTCATGGAAGACGGGTTTATTGTGCTGGACAACCATGAAAGTAGGTCAGATACATGCTTTCTAGAGGTTCTTGATGGCTGTCACGGTGTGACAGCTACAGATACAATTGTAGCAAAGCTTCCACTTTTATTTCTTGAACAGCTTTCTCACATAGATTCCTCCCACAAAAATAAAAACTACAAAGAGCAAATTCTAGAATTTTTTGCCAGACTAATCAAGGCAGATTACAGGGAAAAAGAGAAGAACCAGGCAATGAGGAGACCAACAAGACCAGTCTATTATGAAAGTGTATGCTAAGTCCTTTTGGAGAATGCGGATTTTTACAGCTGGGAAGGAAAGAGGTTTCCAAAGTTCACTGGAGTGGCTGTTCAGTGTGAAAAAGAATTCCTAGTGAAGAGACGGATGGCACTGGGGAAGAAGAAAGAAAACATCCTGAAAACAACACACACAGCCCATTAGCCAGGACAGCCAAAGGTGTTGCTGGGCTACTGCACATTGCTATTATAGGTAAGTATATTCCACACCAGGATTTTTTTCCCTTTTTCCCTTCAACCAACTAAGTAAAAAAAAAAAAAAAAAAAAAAAAAAAAAAAAAAAAAAAAAAAAAAAAAGAGGCAAGCCTAAATTAATCAAATTAATCTAGAGATTTGTTGGCAGTTGGTATCTGGAGATAAAAAGCAGCAATTCCTTTAGCTTGACAATGTGAAGCAGACATGATTAATTCCCTCACAACTGATACTGCTATCTGACAATAATATTCAGCTTATTAGATAAATAGCCTGACAACAATATTTGAATTAAAGCATTTAATTCAATTTACTAATGTAAACGACAGTTAGGAAACATTCCGTAACACACCTCTGTAGGAATAGTATGATTTTTTTTTTTTTTTTAAATTAAGAGGTTTAAAGTGTCATCACTTTAGAACAGGCTTCTGATATTTGATGCATCAAAGTCCTTGTGTCAATGAATCATACTTAAGATATTCTTTTAATTCATTTGTTTCATTGGACTGTCACCACATTTTACTACCAGCAAGCTGAAAACATGCTTGAGGGAATAATCTGAATGATTACTTTCTGAAATAGAAATCTGTTGTATTTTACTCTTATGAAAGAACTATTCAGACCTGTTTCCTCATGAAGTAGAACCTTGCTTTTCTTTAGTACAGAATCAGTTATTTTTTACAATCAGAAACAATGGTACATACTAATGTTTCTTCACCTACCCCTGCTACAAGGGACACTAGAAAAGCTCTTGCAGACTAGCAACTCTAGCTCCTTCCCGGCTGGAGCTAGTATCTTCCCACCTGGTGATGCTCTAGTATCTTTCCACCTGGTGATTTTTGTTACTAGTTAAGACCTCTCCTGTACATAAAACAGCTGTGAGATTACAAGCAAGATACTTGCTTTCCGACGGAGTGCACAAGCAGAGTGGATAAAAAAAAAGCAGAGTGGGTATAAAAAAAGCTGGTGGGCGAAGAGTTCCAAATGGATTTGTGTCTGCAGTTATATTCTCTTCCAGCCTCTGCTTGAAGGACATGCCCAGCACTACACCACTTCTCTATCACTCTCCTTGGCATTAGTCAGGAGTGGGCTGACACTGCCACTGACATCAGAGGCACTCTTTTTTCCTGTGATGTGTGCATTCACACAACTTGTAAGACTTCTTCACATTTCTCCATATGAAATTTGACCAAAATTAATGAAGAGAGTCAAAGACGAGTAGAAAAAGGGAGAACCATTTGAGAGACTTCATTGTGGGTCAAGACAAAAAAAATAAATAAAAAAAATCATGTTCTACATTTGAAAAAACCAATTCCAGATATTAAAAAAATACTTTTCCTTAACAACAACTTGCACTCATCTGCCAGCCTGAGAAACACTGTAAACCAACTTTATCATGCACTGGCACTGATCTAGGTAACTGTGGTGTATCCCATCTCCATTCTTCAATGCTTGCTCTACTTTAACTCAAATAAGCTTTCTGCAGTTATGTGACCTTTACTGCTACAAGTATCAAAACAGGTAGTTCAGCACTAGGCTGGCTATTCTTTCAGGAAATGCAGTCACACCTTTACTGGAATACAGCATTAATTCACAAAAAGGCTGCAATGTTTTCAGAGGCATTTGTTTCCACCTTATTGGACACACATTTTATTTCAAAGAGATTGATGAAGGCAAGAACTGAGGTTGGGTGAATTCTTTGCCAAATTGCTGCTGGGTCTTGTTACCTGCCTCATCCATTCCTTGCAGAGAGGGTTTCATGATGGATGCAATTAAGGATACCATAAATTCAAGCTCTGCTAAAAAGTTTTGAAATTCATCAGAGGTACTTTAAATCTTTTATGATTAAAGTCCACATTTCTGCACCACTGCTAAATACACATTTATTAAATATAATACAATTAATTTACCACCAAATGTACCACATCAAAGGAAAAAATGCATGCATGAACCTTGATTTTTCCCCAAGGAGTGCATTCTTACACAAGTACAGACATGTTTCTTCAGCTCCAGATAAGCAACTAAAGAGGATGGTCAGATACAAGGAGCAGGAGGTGGTGACATGGGCCATCTTCTTCATTTAGTCCCATATTGATAAGCTAAGTTTTGTTGATTCTTTTGCCCTGTCTCTGGTTTGCAGACAAGAGAGACTTGCATCCAAAAGGGACTAGATTTTACTCTTTCTTGCACTCAAATTGTTCCACATGGGTTATATTATGGCCTTAGTTAGGCTTACAGTTGGTGGTCTTGCTCCAAGGGTTCAAAGGATATTTTACACATTCTTCTAGCTCTCCATGGAAATCAGAGGAAGGAGGGGGAAACAAGCACAAGGAAACATACAGAGCAGAACTTAAAGGCATCTAAAATTTATACTTAATTAAAAATATGCATCCTTCAGAGTTTGGTATTTTGAATCACTTTCTGATTTAAGGCAGAAGAAATCTGCCTTCACAGACTACACGTAGCTGTCTCCTACATTCGATGATGCCAATACTGCCCAAGGAACACAACTGCTGTGTAAGCAATGCCTACTCATACACCCTTTTCAGAGGTCTGTGCCCCAGTCTAGCCAGATGATATTAAAACACAATATAAATGAACACACTGCAGCCAGCTTCATGTCTAGAAAGCCACCACATCCCAAGCAAGTTCCTTCTGCCTGGCATTGCTTTTGCCAACACATCGGAGGGGACTGAACATCTCCCCTAACACAGGAAATGGTCTCCCAGGGCAGCCACAGAGGACCTCAGACAACACAGCACTTTGGTTCAGAGCTCTTTCCTTTATGCTCTGTGTTCAAATCTGACATGACCAGCTCCCTGCAGTGTTGCAATTTCTAACACTTTTAATTCTCAGATTTCAGAAATGTTATGGGACAGAAAAATACCTCTTCCTACTAAAGCCAAGAAATTAGTCCTCAACTTCCCACAACGACTAAGAATTCTTGCTCCCTTGGGTGCCTTAACCAAGTAAGAGATTTAAGGAATCCTGTAAGTAAACAGTAAATCCTACATCATGCCCAAATTATTTTCAAGTACTGGAATTTGTAGGCTGCCAGAAACAGTCTGAGCTGAAACTTCTTGCTGAGTTCACTCAGACACTTGAAATCACATGTTCTCATAGGAGAAAAAGTATTTGAGAAAAATAGAGAAGTAGCACTTTGGCTGGCTTTTAAACAAGACTGCATATTTTTCATATTAGACTGCACTTTAAGCTGAATGAAATGTCACCTAAGACTCCGCAGAAGAGTTTATTTGCAGTCAAGAGATAAAGATTCCAGAACAGTCTTCTAAGAATGACAGAAAACTTTGCTGTAAAACCAGAAACAGATTCAATGATGGACATATTGTTGCCTGTGAAGTAATTATTAACTATGGTCTCAGGTTTTTTCCCAGTCCGTAACAAAAGTCGGATACTCTAAGAGCAGTATCTTTTAAAAACCCAGTATGCTCTAAATACTGTTTCAACTTCAGATGATGTATGTGCAGTCTTACATAAAAATGGAGTCATGGTTCTCAAGAGCACAGCTCTTCTAACGTGAGAGAAAACACTTCAGAATGGTGGAAACATCAGCACTAATAAACCAGATTTGTAGAGGAATACCTGAGAACTACAAGGGCTCTTGGACGTCACAGAGCTCCAGTAAAAAGAACATCTGTTATACCTGTACCTCATCTGTTATACCTGTCCCTACCAATGCTACTTGCCAGTTTCTTATATCGGCTTCTAATGGGCTTTGAGGGGTTTTGGATTACCTGAAGTACTTGCAGCAACTCTTTAACATTCACTCATTATTTGAGAATGCATGAATGCTGTTCAACAAAACAGGACTTTGTGTGTCAGTATCTAGTATCCCTCACTGGAGGCAACTTAACTGACTCAAACACTATTAATCATCTGCAAGATAGAATACAGCTATTTTATTCCAGTAAAGGTATTTTTCAGAGCGACTCAAAAGGCAATCTGAAACAAAACCAGTGAAAATGTTCTAGAAAGAATTATGGAATTCTAGGAAGAAAAATGGAATTCCTAATAAGGAAACCAATGACCACAAAAATCAAACTAATCCAGAACTGTCTCTTTTCAGTAACGATGGAGTAAATTCAAAGAATAGAGATACACTACTCCAACTCTAGCACACAAGGTGACTCTGAAGAACTCAGTGTGAAGACAGAAAATTTTATCTAAGTTTTCATCCACAGTGAGACTTCAGAGCAAGAAGAAGCCAACCCTTTCTATGCAACAGGTCCAAGCCACAGCTATAAACAGCTGCAAGAGAATGTACTGGCATCAAGGTCTAAGGCCACAAAAATGACCCCAAAATAGACAAAACCATGCCATCTAATTCTGACTCAAAAACACAGCTGGCAGAAAAAATGGACTCCAATTCATTTTGTGACAATCTGCAGGTGATGTTGGTCAAGAACTGCTAAAGACTGTATCACCACTGGGTTCCAAACCACCACCACGGTTTGAAAAAGATACAAAAATGTACCAAATCAATTGGAAATCACAAGCTGCAGAAGAGACACAGTCAGCTCAGAGACACTGCAATGCAACAAGTCACCTTGTGAACAACTGGCAAAGACTGCATTAGCTGCAGGTTCAAGAGACAATATTACTATTTTGATCATACTTCTAAATGGATGTGATAAGATACCAAATTACCTCAACATTTAAAGATTTATCATAGGATAACTGGAGTGCCACAATATATATAGGACAAGCTTATATTTAGCTATGCCATGAATTTATTGTAAGCATCTTAAATGCTGACCCATACAGTGAAACAGACATCTTGTCTGGAACTGTACAAATGCGGTAAAACCTCCTGAAACTCTCAATAAGAACCAGTAATCAAATTTTTTTTAAACCACTTTATTCAAACCTGAGCACCTCAATATAAAACTAAACACTGGTGAACTGTCATTTTTCTTGCTAAACCCAGATTACTGCAAATTTAAAATCTGCACAGGTAAGTTTCTATCAGTTCAACATTTA